ACACACACACACACACACACACACACACACACACACACACACACACATGCACACACAAATATATATAACCGGTTAAAGTAAGAATCAAGAGACCACCGAGTCAGGAAATTACAATGGTGGGATTTGAAGAAAACACTCATTATCTATTTTTGGACCATAAAGACAAATTCACACATTCTAACATTAGATATATATATATAAACAAAACACTACCAAACACAAAAGAGGAAACAAAGACAATTACAGCAACAATAAATACACATATTTGTGTATTTTTGCTAATTTCGAATGTCTCAGTTTGGGACAAAATTTAATCAGTGCTATTTATAAACAACTAGATTTGTCATGAATGTCATTTTTAATGTGTGTGTGTGTGTGTGTGTGTGTGCTTTGTTAAAGCTGTCATCGCCTTTTTTTTTTTCAGTCTGTCAAAACCAATTCGCACACGTCGTAACAGCCGTACCACATGTCCCACAGCCCCCTCCATAACCAACCCACCCCGTGCACCGCCCAGGCATCCTGCCTAGCACACCCTGCACTAAAAAAGAACCTTCATTCCAAAATTACAGTGCAGCATTGTGGGAAACCCCTCCCTCCCTTATATCGCTACATTTCCCCTCCTTTTCTGCCCCTTATTGAGCTTCTGACGCGTATAATTTTGAGCAAAGGTTTATTTTATCGTTAATTATCCTGTCAGACAGCTGTCCACACTAATTTGCATCTATAATTAATGAGGTTATCAAGACATGAGTAAATGTGACACATTTGTCCAGGAGGGGTTGTATTCAATACTTACCTTTTTTTTTTTTTTGGTTTGCTTTTTTTTATGAAAAAAAAAAAAAAAAAAGGTGTTTCATCACTTCTTATGAACACAACTAATTAGTATGCAAAGTCTATTTAATTCGCCTTGATATTCAATTCAACATATCTCCATGTTATCACACTGAGCCACTAAAACGCAGCTCTTTAAATAGGCTGCAATTTGCCAGGGTTTGATGGTAGATTTATATTTGCAACAGAAAACAAACCAAGTTAGATTTATATGGTTAAATGTTACGCAGTCATAATGCCAAGATGGCCAGAATAATCAAAAGAAGGCCAACTACCGAGTTTTAAATTCAAATTGGACTAAAATAGCCACACGTTGGACGTCGCTTCTTATTTTAAAGCAGCACAATTCATTTTCAGATTGGGGTTAACTAGTGACATCACCGTCACAGCCGTCGTGTCACTTTAATGACACACTCCACCAGTTCAGCTTTGAGTTCTCGGAGCTAGCTTGGCTAACAGTCGTGTGCGTGTGTGTGTACTGTTAGCGCACTTGAGAATCCGAGAGGAAAGAGCTCACGCTGCTAATGGACGTGTCTATTGATGTTCCCTGTTAACGGCGGACTGTAAACGATAGGACAATGATTGTGTTGAAGATGGAAGGTGGTGGTGGGGCAGGGAGGATGGAGCAGTTTGTCTGGGTGATGATAAAGACAAGGAGCATTATTATTTGGAGCCCCATAGAGTCTCTTTCCGCCCGTCTAAGTGTGCGTGAGACAAAGGAACGAGTCGAGAGTAGCACTCTTGCGCATGTCTCTCAATTCTTTTGCTTCTCTTTTATTTCTCCCCCTCCCAGTCCAACCCAATCATGACATTACCCAATAATGGCTTTTACTTTTCCATAAACACCTCATTTTTCTCCTCTAAATGATGGTTTTTAATGCATATATTTTTGAATTAGATGGTACAAAAAGAAGGTAAAAACAAGAATAAATCGAAGGCAACAAACTAGTTTAGGAAAGCCAGTTGCACGGAGACATTTTCTCACCGGTTGATTTTTTTATTTTTTTCTAACTTCATGTGTGTGTCCTGTCAGCTCCAATCAGTGCGTGTGCGTGATGAATATGAATCGTCAGCCTCCCTGCAGGTTTGGCAGAAGACCACCTCCAGCTGGACGCAGACCCCGACTCAAGTGTCTCGGTGTGTGTTTTGTCAGTGTGGTTGTCCAAGTCAGTTTGTATCTGTCAGTGCAGTGACAACCTCAGAAGGAAGCGTCACATACACTGTGTGTGCGTGTGTGTGTGTTCAAGTTGCACAAAAAGAGCGCCTCAAGCATAAAAATCAGTGAAAGCTAAACTCCTTGTTACTTAAATAAAATCTACTTGGATCCTGTCTTTTATAAATGAGTTGTTAGAATTAGATTTAGTCTTTGCAGTAAGTATCTGTTTATCATTCTCTGTGTGCATGTGTCCGTAATTGCAGTGCAGCCGATGAAGAAGGAGGTGCCATTCCAGCTGCGAGGAGACAGGAGTCAACACACACACGGTCACATAAACACACGCGCGCACACACAAAGACACACGCAGAGCCGGGGGCGTGCGAGCAGGTGAGCATTAAGTCAGGGCGTTAAACAGATCATGTCGCGGTATGATATCTGCAGACAGGCAGACAGAGGGGGCCGGTCTGTACCTGCAGGCAGAGAAGCCACGCACAGCAGCCCTCGCCAGGAATGTCCTCCCGCTTCTGGTAGAAGGGCGGGGTGACGCTGAGAGACAGGCATAAACTGGCGTTTCCACATTTTTATATATTTTTTTCCTGTCACATTTTGCAAACCAAATTAGATGTGAAATTGCCTCACTGTCACCGATTTAAAAAAAAAATTTATTTACATATTTCTTTTTTTTTTTTTTTTTTTTGTTGCTAAAATTACATTCTGGACTTCTCAAAATGCTTGTAAGACTTTTAATATATGAAATATATTTGTTTTAAAAAGAGAAGATTTTGTCCTTTTTTTTATTACACAATGAAAAACAGTTGCTTTTTATGCAGATTTACGTTTTCTTCTTTTTTTTTTATAAATTACATTTATAGCTTTTATTTTTGACTTGTATGACAGAAAACTTAGCTTTTACAAGAGAATTTTAATGTTGGGCTTTTTTTTTCTCTCTCTCTCTTGCTCAAAGTAAAAGCTTCTACTTTAAGATCTAAAAATAGCTCCAGTGATTAAAGAAGTGCAGGAATCAGACTGACAGGAGCAGAAAGATAGAAATCTGTTACAGGTAGGAAGTAGCACAAAGACTTTATTTCTGAAAAGCTTTTATTATTTTTTTTTTTGGCATCCCAGCATTCTCCCATTTCCTCAGCTAATGAAAGGCCAAAAACAGAGCAGTGCATTCGCACGCTTATGAACCAGAGCTGAGTTTGGGAGCAGTTTAATCACCCCCTGTATGATTCGTCTGTCTGGAACTGTCTGTTTTGACAACGTCCACAGTAATAATTGTGAAACACTGACAGCACTCATTATGGAAACTTGTTCAGCCATCTTGCAGCATGTTAAGGTATTCGTTTTAAATCGCTGTGCCTCTGTCTCTACATCGCAATCTGTCCAGGAGACGTGGCTTTTATCTGCGGTATCACTTACAAAGTAAATCCACTTTAAGAGATGCCATCTACGGTTTAGGCATCTGAGCAGAGTCACCGAACTAACATTTGATTGTTGATCAAGAGAGCACAAAGCTTTTACTTCCTGCATTGGTTCTTTTTTTTTTTTTTTTTTTTTTTATCCAAAAAAAAAAGTGCTGCTCCTGTATTCACAGACCGTTCCAAATGTTCAAAATGAAATGCTTTGAGTCATTTGGAAGATGCCGAGTTCTTTGATCTGCAATATTCTTGCGTTTTTATTGTCTTTTCTAAAGCTCCTTATATTCTAACCCGAGTCTGAAGTCTCCCCACCGCATCCACTTATCTAAAAATGATTCAGTGGTTAAATGTCAGAGCTGTCGGTGCCATTAAGGCCAGCACGTTTGAAGGAAGAACGCTGTCCCCTCCTTCATCTTCCGTCTCTTCTTATCCCCCCTCCCTTGGCTTTCACATCTCAGCCCGGGCTGGTTTGAGGGCTGATGTGCAGACCTTGTCATTCAGATTAAGGCCACATTGTCAGCTCAGGGCTCTTCTCTCTTTAGTTGCGTGTCCCGGATCTTTCTTCCCACTGTCAGCCCCGTCCCGCGGCCAGAGAAGACCTTATAAAGCTACATTCCTCCTCATCCTTTTCTGTCAGTTCACACACCGTCAGTCACATCGGCGAAGAAAGAGTGAGTTAGCCGTGTTACCCACAGCAAGGACCGGGCTTTTCTTATTTAAGCTTGAGTGACGCGTTTCAACTTTTCAATGTTTAACTTCGCAGTTTTTCTTTTGTTTTAATTGGTCTAAAAAAATAATCCAAAATAATGACGCAGCAGATCATCAGCGATAACACCCATGGTTGTGCTTTGTAGTAAACCGTGTTATTTTTAAATCAAAGTTTTATGTGTCGACTGCGTGTTTGTCAGGAGGTGACACATCCAGCAGATAATCTTAGTCACTCCTTATCCTGCTCTGGAAACGCGTCCCAGCACGGCGTTTATCGTCCGACCACATCTTGACTCACCGCCGCAGTTGCTGTCGCATCACGTCTAATTGCTAGAGCAGCTCTGTGGCATTTAATTTTCGTGCTTCTCACAAACTGCTGCGTTTTCTCCCGCTCTTTTTCTAAATGAGCAACGATGCAGCACTGTGAAAGATAGTGGACAGTTTCTTGGTATTAGTTCAAAGAGAGGTTACAAACATGTCTTTTGGTATCAAGGCTCAGAGCCGCATCATATCGAAACGACAACCACTCAGAGTGAGTCTGCAGTTTCATACCCGGTGTCTTCCTCATCCTCCACCTCACACGGCGCCTCTGAGGCGTGCCGACGCTTCTCTAGAGGCCGAGCAGCTCCGCTTCAACACGGCAGCCGACTGTGAGCTGAAGCCTCAGCCCAGGTGTGGCGTCTACCGAACTCTACGATGAGTCAGGGGTTTCAAGATGACTTTCTTGGTTTAACTGCTACTTAAAGCAGAATAAACTGTTTTCCCGTACACTCATCAGTGGCGTAATAATTACCGTGTGTCATGGAATTAAAGTCTTTTAAAAACCATGCCCTGTTTACTAAGAATCAGAGCAGAGGTGA